ACGCAAGGAGGGGAGAAGGAAATAGGGAGAAAGCGATAGAGAAAGAGAGAGAGAGAGAGAGAGACACACGCACAAAGAGAGAGAGAGAGAGAGAGAGAGAGAGAGAGAGAGAGAGGGGGGGGGAACGGCTTATGTCGCCTGTGTGTGAACAATGTGAGCAGAGAGACTGAGGCAGTGAAAGCGACATTTACGGGGAAAGATATCGATTCTCGTAGCACGGTTGGAATCGCTGAGTCGTTTGTGAAATTCTCCACCGACTCCCACAGAAAACAGTGACGTTTAACTGTATTCGAAGGTCAAGTACAACTCTTCAAAAGCAAAAGTGGTCCAAATTATTCTCTCCTTGCCGCGTAAACAATTTTCTGGAAAAGCGACAAAAGGAAAGGCAGACTATAATATATACTTAATGTTAACAGTGTGGAGTTTGACAAACAATAAAACAGCACAATTTAAGATTCAGCTGTGACAATATAACGAACAATACCAAGTTTATAAAATAAAATCTAGGTGTTTTTAAGCCCCAATAGACACAATTTAGATCATACAACAAGCGAGCTTCGACCATGCCTGTCACGGCCAGCCCGGGCTGAGAGGGGTACAAAATCCCAGGGGAGAAACCGAGATACTCGATAAAAATTCTCCCCATTCAGGAATTGAACTCCGGTGTCTCGCGTGAGCCGGCAAAGCACCTAACAGCTACACCACATACGCTGACACACACTGAGTTCATTTGGACTGTTGGTTTAATCAAATAGACATGTTTAGAAACTCTTGGATGATATATTGAAAAGCAAAACAGCAACATCCAGTCGGCGATAAATTTGGGATAGAGGGCTCTCGTGGCCTAGAGGTTAAGGTGTTCGCCTCTCATTCGAAGGTCCCTGGTTTGAATCCGGGTAGGGACGGATAAAATTTCTTCTCTAAATTTTTCTCCTTCCACCTCCTTTCTTGCTCTCTAGCAAAGTTTTGTCGTCTGCATTCGTCTCCACTTTCTGCCCCCACCCCCTCATATCCTTGCCCTCTCCTCTAGGCTCCTAACTCTTTCTGCAGCCTTTCTACTGCTACTCCTTGGCTCCTTCTTACTGCTGTCTTCCAGCCACGTCCCTGATCTTCTGGTAGGAAATATCTACACCTATCCTTCTCGGACAAGGGCGAACAATCTCGGAGGTCCCATGTGCAAGTTGCGCACGCTAAAGATCCCTTGGTGGTCAAAAATCGATAAGAGTAGACTTCGGCCGCAACCCGGGCAAAATTCAAAATGCCCTACCTACTGAAAATGTTTAGGCCTTATGTGTCCCGCGCGCTCATATGACCTTAAGCAGTTGCGAGCACCGTAAAACACTTACCAAAACAAAACAAACAAAAACGAAACAAAACTTGGGATTCTGATAAAAAATAATTTTACAGAGTGACGTAGGCCATTCTCACAACTGTTGAAAATTCATCGTCACGAATAAAGTGTGAATGATCTCGATGTGCCCATAATATGCCGCAAAGGTGTAAGTCCGACCCCTTACCCCACTCACCCCTACGGGACGGAAACTATACATTTGAAGATGATAATAATAGATGAAAATAATGACGATGACCTATACACTTGCAGAGGAGAATTTTAAAAATATTTCTCAAGCACAGTAGAAGAAATTGAAGAATTAAAGGATCACGATGAATTGTGGCTTATGCTGCGGCAGATGAGACCAATTCTCGCAGGGAAAAGTTTGCCACATTTTGAACATTTATTAATGGCTCCACTTCCACTTGTGGATGTGCGTAGCTTGCTTTACAAGCTTCTCTCTTGGTTTCAGTATTATGAGACCAATTATGACAGAAAAGTTTGCCACATTTTGAACATTTGCAGGCTCAAATTTCACTTGTGTTAAAATATAAGAAAAGATTAATACTTCCATCTCGGATTTAGCCTGACTTGTCGAAAGCAGATAGATAGATAGATAGATAGATAGATAGATAGATAGATAGATAGATAGATAGAACAGCAGTCTTAGCATGAAAGTCTGCAGCAACACTTAAGTATCGATTCTACACTCTAAGCAATATCAATGTTGTCTGATATCGAGGAGGTGGGAAAAACGCCAGTTTTTCGTGTGTGGGTTGGTTTTTTTTGGCTTTGAAGTGACACGTTATGGGCCCGGGGTCTGTCGGCCCTTCAGAGGCCGGCCCTCACACAAGGGGAGACTAGAGGTGAGAGACTCGTAAAGATCAAGCCCGTGTGGAGGTCACAGGGCGCGGGCCAGGCATCGATCTGGGTTTATGGGCCTATCACGAGTGAGGCAGACGTTTGGGTTAGGCTGAGACTGGGGCAGAAGCAGGGACAACGTCCATACACAGTATATATATATAATAAATGTGTGTGTGTGTGTGTGTGTGTGTGTGTGTGTGTGTGTGTGTGTGTGTGTGTGTGTGTTTGTGTGTGTGTAGTATAGTATGGCTCTTTTCGTTCACGCAGACGGTTAATTTGGCTTAAGATCGTCTCAAGGTTGTC